TAGATTAACAAAAACTGGGACAATTTTTTACCAGTAGATTCACAATAAAGAAAAAGAAGCTCTTCAAGCAGAAGTATCTTATTCATCTCTTCAAAGGACCAACTTTTGGCTTTATTATTCCTAACTAGCAAATATTCATATTCTATTTAAGCTATTTCTGCTCAAGTTCTCCAGGAGAAAATACAAAAGATTTGAACAGCCAATTCTCCAAAGAAGACACCCAAATGGCCACTAAGCAAGAAAACAACCTTAACATCATTAGTCATTAGAAAAAATTGACAAAATTAAATAATAAGTTACTGCTACACACCCACCACTATAGCAGATGATATTAAGTGTTAGTGAGGGTATAGAGAAATCTTGGCTTCTCAAATTGTGGTAGAATATAAATTGATACAACTACTTGGAAAGCTGGCAGCCTCTACTAAAATAGACACCCAATCACTCAGAAATTTCACTAATAGGTATATTCCGAAAAGAAAAAAAAAGAATACATGAGTGCACTTGGGCTTTCCTCATATAGCACACACCAACTGATTTAGGAAAAATATATCTCTGTAGCTCTGTCTATCCATCTGCTGATCAAACTTACATTCCAACCGAGATGAAAATCAAAAAGTAGTTTTAGAGTGGTACAACATGTAGAAGCTCTCATTCAGATGTAGGCATCTGAACAAAATAGGACACAAAGCATTTAAGGAAGTAAATTGATTGCAGTATACCCCTGGTAATTGAACGTTAAAGAATATCCTAACAGATTTCACCTGAACAGAGTTCTCTGGCCTATTTAATTTGCACCAGAGACTTTAAAATTGCAATAAAATTGACTTAGCTGAATGGGAACATTATCAACTAGAGAAAGCTGAGGGCTTAGTCAAGTCACTCCTGCAATTTGGACAGCATCCTATCAGCCTTTCAGAAAAGGGAGGGTGAGACATGGGGCATGTGGTGAGTGGTTATTCATCTTGATGCATTCTCTTCCTCATAATTTTCTCATCTTAAATTATATACTACAACTGAGGCCACTCACTCTGACAATGCATTTCCCCAACAAGCCACTGTAAATCTTCTCCACATCTGGCAACCGGGTCTCCAACAAGAGAGTATCCTTCATTACAAGTGTACATTATATTTTTCCCAACAGGAAACATGGAACCTTTATCCTAAACAAAAATAAAAGATGAAAAGAGGAAGAGTTTACCTTATCTATTTTGCATTAACAAAAGGTTACTTTACATAATTTGTCTATAAATCAAACCTTATTTTAATCATCAAGTAACCTAAATTTAGATAACTGATTTAGAAAAGTGTTTATAAAACATTTTTCCCCGTATAGTCAATAACATTAGTACCACCATTAATTGAAGTAAAGTCATTAATGTCACTATATGATAACATATTGATTGCTGCTGAAATACCAAGCACTGTACTCAGCATTTTACTAAAATTAATGAAAACTGTGCAAATAAGTTCATTCCATTTTCCTTGTAGGAAAAGGCAGTTTTTTATCAGATTTTGGGAACATCTTTGTCAGTCAACTCTTCATATTAAGGTATCATGGGCTGTTCATTGGGAATACTGCCTAAAAAATGCCAGCAGGAACACCCAGAAATGTTCAAATCCTATCAGCATGTTCATGGAAGTTTAAGTTTCTCATTGATGATTTTTAAGGGAAGCATAATGTTGTGTTGATCTTCCCCCTCTCCACCCTCCAGCTCCACTCTGTCAGTATGGAAATGCTGCTGGGGTCGGGCCAGATCCAAGGACATTTCAGTAGCCTATAATGCCAGGAGATGAGCTTTCATGATGAAGCAAGGAAGAATTCAAAGTCTGAACCTATGAGGAGGTAACCATACTCATTTGGGGTCCTTCTTGGTTCTTTTCCTTACCCTCTGATTCTTCTCCACCCCCAAGGGGAATGTTGAAGAAACTCAGACCTGGGAGAGGGGCTGGAGCTGGTACCTAGCCCAGATCTGCTGTAAGTATCAGAACAAAATTTCCTGGTGCCTCCTTTTCATTGTCAGTCTTGCTCCTCCTGGCCCCGTCTGGCTCTATCATGGAAGTTGGTAGGAAACAGAGGGCCCAGGTTGATGCTGAGTTTTGAGGAAAACAGGGAACAGCACATGTTCTGCTTTGAATCTAGCCCCTAAGCTTTTCTCTGCCTTGCAAAATGTACTTCTATAATACATGAGGAAGTCTAATTGAACAGAGTCCAAACTTGGCTCTATATCAGAGTCACTCACAGTAACTTAAAAAATAGACTCTCAGGCTTTACTCCAAACCTATCAAATCAGAAAGTATGGAGGACAAGGGGCAAGCAGCAATCTCTGTTTTTAAGTTCCCTGGGTGACTCTTATGCAGCCAGTCCGTAGAGCAGTGTTTGGAACGCCTGGCTCTTAAAAGGACATCATATGCACCAGAGTTTGGGGCAATAGCTTCATGGTTTGCTAAAGTATATGAGTTTGCTTGGCCTCATTCTCTAAGCACATGCTTCATTCAGGAACTGCATGGATTGTGGTGTCTGTATAGGTTTTAGAGATGCTAAGTTCATTTTCTCTATATGCGCACACACACACACACACACACACACACACACACACACACACACACCACTTTCATCACTTTGATGTCCCAACAGTACCTACATTTGGGGAAACCTCTGCAAACTCTCAGTGAGTGTGTGCTCAAGGGCCTAGAATTTGAGAGACAAAATTCCTCATGAAGAAAGCAAGGCTGGGGCAGCAGTGGGAGAATCTCCATGAATTATATCTCCTGTATGAGCCATGAGGAGACTTCAATGTGGTTTGGGGCAAAGGCCTCATCATAACAAGGACTGAGAACAGCATGAATTAAAATGTCCCCAAAGCCAAGAAAAGTCCCTAGAATGACAAATGGCTAATGACTAGTGTTCCTTTGTGAACAAGAAAATTGCTCCAAGCTCAATGACACATATCTCACTAGACATTTGCTAAATATTTTATTGACTCCTGCAATCTGATACTTCATCCCAAGCCCCACAATTGTAAGGGGGGAAAAAGTCTCCTTTCACTGGAAAAATAATAAAAGTTCTCTAAGTTGAAGAACTTGCTTATAGATTGGTATTTTTGTGTTCGGAGTGGCAATGTTTAACAGCCCTCTGGCGTGGCTATATTTCTAACTCACTGGATGGCAGTATTGATTTCCCACACCACACAGGATACACCACCTTCTGCAGAACACTAATCACCTTAGGCCAAAGAGGAAAAGTCACAAACTAAAACCCTCACCACTAAAACTAAAATGCACATATAAAATATTTTTAGCGCTGTTTCACCATGAAAGAAAAAAATAGGTTATGATCTCAATAGACAGAACTTGGAATATTATAAAGGAAAAAATATCTTCCATAACCAACTTGAACAAATCCGTCTTTCAAGACAGGAGGTGATGGACAGAATTGTGTTGGAACCAAAGACAAAGGAAAACAATGTGGTTCAAGCAATCTGAAAGAAAAAAAAAGAAATAAAATGTAATGAATGTGATTGATATCCACAGTTTAATAAATATTTTGTACTACATTTGATTTTTCTTTGCTTCTGGAAGGACTCCATTCATAAGTACATTAATGTGATATTTTTGTCATTCTCAGAACCAAACATCTGATCACATCCTCTGGTAGAAAACTCAAGACATAAACTCAAGTTGCCAAAGACAGTGATTTATATATCTGCTAGGTCAGTAATATGAAAAACAAACAAAAAGAAAGAAAAGAAAAATAAAGCTTTTGGACAACATGACCACTTTATATGATTTCTAGAGGTTCTCTCTCAGAACCCACTTTTCTCCTGCTGTTTGGTTCTGAAATTCATTTAACACGGAATTAATTCTATATTGAAAATAAGTAATTAGTTAGTGATCCCAAGAAAGAGGTAACACAAAATTATAACTACCTTTCATTGAGCATTTACTATGTGCCAGGCACCACGGCAGTTGTTCTGCATATGTGCAATATCTCAATTCATACTTGCAGCAATCTTAGGAGATTATGTGGAGAATAACAGAGGCATGGAAACTTTAGATAACTTGTCTAAGAATATGAATGAATATACACCAGGGCTGGATTTACATCCAGTCAGTTAGGTTCCTACAGTCATGCTCTTTCTACCTCTCAGAAGGTAATAAGGGAGTATAGGGAGTCTCAGTATCTCTCTTTTTTCTGAAATATATATAACTGATAGCACGTTCTTTGGTGAAAGCAAGTTTTGACAAGGCTTGGGGCAGGAATATTAAGCCTAAAAGAAAGATAGAGGAACAAAAGCCCTAATATCATCTCACTCATGCCAGTCAAAGAAACCCAGAAATGTGAAGTATTGATCATAATTGTCCTGTTTGTACTGAAGAGAAGGATAATTCCCCTCCTCTGAGCACCAAAAAGAGTAAAATTTCCTTCAATGCCTCCCAGATCCTTATCCTCCCAGAAACAAGTGCACTGAAGCCAGCATTCTCTTCCCATCACAATCCATATGCCTGTCAGCCTCCTCGGTCAAGAGATGATGGTTATGTCAGGTTACAAGGCACAAAAGACATAAGAATAAGGCATCCCACCTCCCTACACTTCTACCATATACACAAGCACCTTGCCTCTTTCTTCAACTTGCATGACCTTCAAATGAGCTTACTAGAACTTTTTGCCAACTCTGATTAGAAAAGGTTAAAAAGGACAGTTTTAACAGTCGATGTGGCGTAAACAATTCTGACCCAGGGGTATGATTCATCAACTATGCAGTTTTGAGATTGCTTCTGGAAGGTCCTGGCAAACGGGCAGTTGTCCCAGAAAACTGGGCCAAGGTATTATCTACCTGAAGTGTCTGGCTTTATGATTAACTCAAAAGTAAATACATAAGAGGGAGTGTTGTGAAAAGTAACACAACACTTGTTGAATGCTTATTATGTGTCTGACACTGTAATAATAGCTTTACACACTTAATCTCATTTAATTCTGACAATGTTCTATTGTCAGTTTACCTATTATAATTATTATTTTCATTTTAGGGGTGCGACAAGTAACTTGCCCAAGGTCACACAACATCTTCTTGATGCCAGAGAGGCTGCTTGCATCCACTCAGCAGGACTGCTCCAAGTTACCCAGCCTTTTGTAACACTCGGGTCAGGAAAACCTGAAGCACACAGTGCAAGTTGGCCACGACGTGTCTTTCTCCTTCAACTGACCCCCGTGCTTAGGGGCAAAGCAGTCACTGATAAAGACTGCCATTTATTAATAACCTCTAAATCTTTCAACAGCAGCGATCATGTATGCCACACTACAAAGGGCACCGTGTTCTATGCGGCTGCCAGGAATTTGGGTCTCCATTACCGCAAGTGCTCCAGTTCCTCGTCTTCACAATGCCTGCTTTCTGTCGTTTCTCCAGTGCAGGATTTCCCACCCGCACTGGGAGGGGGGTTATTGCATTCTCTGCTCCTTGTTTTCTTCCCTTGAACGCAGGGGCCCCAAGAGGACCAGCAACTCCAACCTCCATCAACCCCTCCTGCAAGATGAGAGACATTTAGTAAGTTCTGGGAGAGGAGGACTTCAGAGCTTAGCACTATGCTTCCTGCTAATGTGTTTGTTGGAGAAAGGGATGATTCTGGGGATTGATTACCTTCACTCTGTTCACTGAGGTTTTCTACAATGGCCAGAATGGCTCCACAGACCAGCTAGGAATGTCCATATTAAGGCTGCATTAGGGAACTTCTTGCAATAATGTCTTAAATTGTTGATTATTTTACAACTATTGCAAAGCACTTTCATGTACACGGTATCATTTATTTACTTCCCACAACAATGAATGGGGGTGGGCGATAGGTCTGTTACCATTCCCTTTAACACACATGGAATCTAAGAAAAAGCAGTTAAATGCCATGCCCAATGTTCTAATGGCTGCCAAGAGCCACAACCAGACAGTAACCAGGTCTTCTGGCTGAGTCCGGGCTCTTTCTATCACCCCACAATCTCTCAATAAGACAAGTAAGCTCCTTTAGTCAAAGCGTTGACTTCGCGCAAAGAGAATGTAACCTACCGGGTACTCCCAGTCTGCTAACCCCAGGGCTGACGCTGTACAAAATAAGGAAATGCTTAAGTAGGAGAAATGCTTTGAATCACCAGTTTTAGCTCTTTTCATCATCCTTCTCCAGTCTACAGGCACTTCTTCAACCCACCCTGACCAGCTTCTATGTCAGAGCACACTTAAGATTCACAGTTCTTCTAGTATTTCCCCCCATGATATCCCTTGCAGGAGGTGAGCGAGAACTTGCACCACATTCTAAGAGCTTTGCTTTCCTGTTGGACAGTGATCTCAGAAACCATTGCCCCAAAACATTTAACACTAACAACAGATGTGTGTACCTGCTGCTCCTTGGCTATTTTTACTCTGTCTGACCTCTCTTTTCCCTCCACTCCACAGCCCCTCTTCAGTGTCTTGCACCCAAAACTAAACTAATTTGCATAACATTTTCCCATGACCTTCCTTACACTGTCATAATGAGAAATGTATTTAATAAAGTATTTTAATTTATTTAATAAAGTGGACCCCTTAATAAAGTAGATTTCCATCCCAAACCTTACCAGCAAGAGGTGATTCCATTTTAACAGATAATTAGAATTCCAAGCTACAAAGAATGAATCACAGTGGTAGAATTTTAATTTACCAGGACAGGTCACTTGGGGAGACATTTAAGGACAAGGATGCCTTCCTGCTGCTTGTCTATAAGCAACCATAGTTTAGTCATGTATTTATTCATTTATCAAACATTTATTTAGTGACTTCTATGGATCAAGCCCTATGTCAGGCTCTGGGAATAAAGAAAGGAATCAAATGATCCTGACCTTAAGGAATGAGCTTTCCAGGAGAGAGAGACATATAAATAAATATAAAAATAAATGTATATAAATTATACTGATACTTTACCTACTTATAGATCAGCTTCACATAGCCTTATACTAAGTGCCTGAAGGACCATACACACTATTGAGCATATAGCAAATGTTCAACCAACATTTGTGAATAACTGATTGATAGTACACAATATAGAATAGAAATAGAAATGTTTCAAAGAGCTTGTCATCAAAAAGGTTAGGCAATGCAAACACAAGCTCCATAAATCTTTCTTACAGCAAAACCTTATTGAGATAATCATGGAAGGATGGGGGGTGTTTTCAGCATAATTCTATTGTAATAGAGAATGGGGAGGGGAGGGCACAGTGGGGCTGTTAATTCAGATGGGTAAATAGAGAGACAGCAAAGGGTCTTAACCACAGTAGCTATAATCTGAAAGTGGGGAAGGGAGGGAAATTCTAAATTCATATGAGATTTCAACCTTTCCATACCCAAAAAAGCACATTTCAGGGACCAGAAAAGGTAATTCCCTTTCCATTTGTACAGTGGGACTAGAGAAAAGTCACCCCACTGACCTGCTTGATTTCCTACGAGGACTCCTTGCTCACATGCCATACCAAATGTGTATGGTTTGCAATGGCACTGACACTGGGTCCCCACAACTGTGGCCATGCCGCCATTTTGACAAGGCTGGCAATGACAGGGGTCAAATTCATCCAAATACTCTTCAAGAGCCCGCTTCAGGTACAGTCTTTTTGCAGAGGCACAAGGCACTTCCTTTACCAGCTCATATAAAGGTGTCAGCTATAGAGATAAAGACATCATAGTCAGTAATCAGGGTTTTAGGCAAAAATATTTTCCTTTTCACATTTAGGCTCAATCCCCATTAAAAACAAAATCAAAAGTAACTCTTATGTTCATTACAATTTTTTTTGTTCAGATAAAAAGAAAGCAATTCACTCTCTTTGCAACAAAATCAAGTCAACCCTAGGAAAAATTAAGATGAGATAAGGGAGGAATACTTTTTATATCTTGTGTGCATGCATAAAATTAAAAAATGAAAGAAACAGGACATTCATTTTCTAGTTAATGGAAGATTATTTTGAAGATAATACATTACCACCCCTGTAATGGACAGAAGAAAAGGAAATGCACTTAGATTACAGCAAAGAAGCAAGTGCAATTAAATTTTCCAACTCTGGTAAATCTAACATGTCTCCTTAGTGGAGACGATAGACCTGTTCCTGGAGAAATTTAAAACAGGTAAACATTATTTCTCTGTGTTGAATGTTTCAGAAGAAAAGCAACTTTGAAATCAAAGATGTACTGGCTAAACTTTAACAGTCTGCGCTCCCAGGAACAAGAAAGCTCTGCTTTGCAGGATTTGCCAGTTTCTGCAGTGCAACTACTCTGGCCATGGTCGATTTCAGGCTACTATGATGTCACTAAACTCAGAACTGGGAAGAGATATGCACGATTGCCTCTTGAGAGCCCAACCTCTTCTGAACAGGATGACTTTGCATGGTCACAGACCTGGATAGTGTCTTTTCTTTCTCTGTTCCTTTCCTGCCCAGCTAATGAGTTAGCACAAATATGATAATTTACAGTCCTGTGTGGAACAGTACATAATTGAGACTGTGAAAGAATGTCTTTTTTTCCCTAACCAACAATTTAGGATTTGTAAAGATTTGTATGGGATACTGACAATTAATACAGACCATTTTGAATAGTGACAGATGGCACTTTAAGATAAGACTTCCCAGGAAAAACTCACCTTCCCATCTTCACCCTTATTCGGAAGCTAATGGGTGCAGTATGGTGTTAGAAAGGGATTTGAGTAGCTACTGTAATTTTTTTGAGCTTATAAAATCTATACAAGTCTCTTTAATCTCTGAAAATCAGGATTTGCCTGGGACATTGTTTGACTCCCATGGCAGGAAATAGATCACAGAATCAGTTCTACTGTAACATTTATCTTGAAAATGTGAATTTGTTCTATTGAGATTGATACATTGGAAACAATTTGAGCACAGCACAAATTTTGTGTTTTTTAATGTACAGTTTTGTCAACATGAAACACAGTGTGAACACAGAAAACTGCATGCAGCTGAACCAAGCCACATAGGAATACACAAAACCCTGAGCACATGCGTGCACACACACACACACACATGCACCCCTTAAACATCTGTGTCGGTTCACTGCCTGTGTTGTAAACTACACCCATGCACACCTGGTGTTAAAACTGTCTGTCAGAAGACTGCTTTCCCTCTACCACTTCATGATAACTCACAAACTGCAACCCTACTAGCACCCTGCAAGCTTCAGGCCTTTTTGCAGGTAATGTGCCACATTTATTGTAGTATAGATATATTTTTAATATTAAGTAATT